GCCCTGTCTCACTGGGAAGTCCCTCTTTATAAAGCATTATATTACCTGGAATGGCTTGGTCAATTGTGTTCAGTTCATAAATATGTTTTACATTTTTATCTGCCTGTTACAAAGATGAACAAAAAAAACTTAATGAGAAAGATCACAGATGCATAATAATTTAAAGTCTGTAGTTGAATTTCCTAACTTAAAGAATAGACCAAAATTTCTGTGTATAAAAAAAATGAAAGGCTCCTTACATCCTGGTCTGGGTAACGTGTGTGATTTATTATTTGGTGAATGAACGTGCGGAACAAAACAAAGGTGCCTTCATGCCGCTTTAACAGAGCTGGAGAAGCCACGGGCAGGAGGGGGTTTCCCCTGGGTGTGCAGCAGCCTGGCCGGATGTGTAAGCAGAAGAGGAACTAATGCTGGGATGTCAGGCCCCGTGGGGAGGAGCTCCAGCTGCTGCAGGAGCCATGGCTGCCTTGACTTGAAAGGGCCTGTAGTACATGGCCCAGTGGCTCAGGCCTGTAATCCCAGCGCTTTGGGAAGCCGAGGCGGGAGGATCCCTCGGGCCCAGGAATTTGAGGCTCCCTGACACACATGCCCACTCCTCACTTCTTTTATTGTGGTAAACACAGATCACAAGCACGTTCACGGTGCTGTGCAGCCATCACCGCCATCCAGCCGCAGAACTCGTTCATCTTCCCAAACTGAAGCTCTGGCCCGTTCAACCCCAACTCCCCACCCCCCAGCCCCTGGCACCCACCCTTCCACTGTCCGTCTCTATGGAGTTGACCATCTAGGCCCCTCATACCCTCATAGAAGTGGAACCCTACAGTATTTGCCCTTCTGTGACTGGCATGATGTCCTCAAGGGTCACCCATGTTGAAGCATGTCTCACAATTTCCTTTTTAAGGGGAATCACGCTCCATTGTCTGGATAGGCTGCATTTTGTTTGTGCCATCAGCCATCCATGGACATTTAGGTTGCTTCCATATTTCAGCTACTGTGGATCATGCTGCAGTGAACATGGGCATGCAAACTGCCCTTCCAGACCCTGCCTTCCATTCCTTTGGGCCTATGCCCAGCAGTGGAATTACTGGATCCTATCGGAACTGTAGGTTGAACCTTTTGAGAAACTGCCATTTTCCATTCTCATCAGCAGTGCAGCAGGGTTCCAATCACAGACGCCTTTGCTAATCCAAAGCCACAGGAAGAAAGCCCGCCATTTCACTCATTCCCTTAATCCACATGCTGCATCCTTAAACACCTGTGCCTGTGCACGCCCATGCTCCATGGTCCCACTCCTGCTTGAGCCCGGAAGAGCCAGGACTTGCCAGTGACCACCCTGGCGATGGCGCTAAGACCACACTCCCCTCACTTCATTGGATTTCTCTTTCCCTTTTCGACTTGGCAGCATCGGAAGACGCATTTTCCAGGAAGGCTGCCAAGAGAGGAGAAAAATGGCTTCAAAGTCATTCAAAGCATCAGAGTCCATGCTTCTAAAACCAGCGAAAAGACCAACTGGGCCAGGCGCAGTGGCTCACGCCTGTAATCCCAGCATTTTGAGAAGCCAAGGCGGGGGATCACTTGAGGTCAGGAGCTCGAGACCAGCCTGGCCAAAATGCTGAAACCCTCTCTCTACTAAAAATACAAAAATTAGCCTGGCATGGTGGTGCACGCCTGTAATCCCAGCTACTTGGGAGGCTGAGGCAGGAGAATCGCTTGAACCTAAGAGGTGGAGGTTGCAGCGAGCTGAGATCACGCCACTGCACTCCAGCCTGAGTAACAGAGTGAGATTCTGTCTCAAAAAAAGAAAGAAAGAAAGAAAGAAAGAAAGAAAGAAAGAAAGAAAGAAAGAAGAAAAGAATAAAGAAAAGAAAAGAAGACAAATTGAAAACAGTAGGCAGAAGAATCGCATCATGCCCTTGCTGCATTGGTGTCCAAGTGCATCCTGAACCATAAGGATGAGTAAGTCCAGATTGAGCCAAAGTCCACACCAAGACAGATGGCCCTTCATGGAGAGATATCATGCTACCCTAAAAGAATCGCAGATTTGTGTCTGTGAATCCCCTGTCTACAAGCTTCTGCTTCAGACATGACACACGTGCCACGGGGGAAAATTGGTACTCAGTGAAACAGCTGAGTCCTGGGAGGAAAGGCTTGTGCAGGGGTCTCGGGGAGGCCCGTGCATGAGTGGCCCGTGGCTGCTCACAACAACAGAAACTTCTCTCACAGTTCTGAAGGCCAAAAGTCCAAAATCAAGGCATGGGCAGGCCATGCTCCCTCTGAAGGCTCCAGGGCAGAGTCTGTTCCAGGACCTCCTCTTAGCTTTGGGCATTGCCAGCCGTCCTCGGAATTCCTTGGCTTGTAGATGCTTCACTCCAACCTCTGCCTCTGTTGTAGTGTGGCTTTTCTCCCGTGTCTGTGTCTCTCCTCCTTTTTTCTTATGGCTTTTTTTTCTCACCCACAGCACAGTTCAATGCATGTGGGAGGCTGTGTTAGGCTCCAGAAGAAATATAGGCACGGAGGCTGTTTCTGGCTTGCAATTCTGTCACCTCCAAGTCCTTTCTTTCTGGAAGTTCAGATAAGAAAATAGATGGTGTTTACACCTTTGCCCTTAAGTGCTTACAGTGACACACCTATACAGTCCCCTGGACTTCCAGAGATGAACATGAAGCACATGATCCTATCTAGAATTGGTGGACACTAACTTTCCCCAACACAATGACTGCCTGTTATTTCAAGCAACTACTATGTTCTTTATTGGTTTTACATTTTAACATACCAGGCCAGGCATGGTGGCTCACACCTGTAATCCCAGCACTTTAGGAGGTCAAGGTTAGAGGATCACTTGAGTCCAGGAGTTTGAGACCAGCCTGGGCAACATAGCAAGGCCTCATCTCTACCAAAAGTAAAAATAAAATTTAAAAAATAGCCAGGCATGGTGGTGCACACCTATAGTCCCAGCTACTCAGGAGGCTGAGGTGGGAGGATCGAATGAGCCCAGGAGGTCAAGGCTGTAGTGAGTCATGATTGCAAAAGGAAAGAAAAGAAAACAAAACAAAAGAAAGAAGAGGGGAGGGAGGGAGGGAAGGAGAAAGGAAGAAAGGGAGGGAGGGAGGGAAGGAAGGAAGGAAGGAGAAAAGAAAAAAGAAGAGAAAAAAGAAAAAAGAAAGGAAAAGAAAAGAAAAGAAAAAAAAGAAAAGAGAGGTGGATCAATTAGCCCAAGATACACGGGTGATGGAACCAGCCTTCACAGCCAAGCAGTCTAACTCCAGAACCCACTCTTTCGTTTGTTGGAATGTTGAAATATATTGAATGCCAAAATGTTTTTTCTTTTCTTTTTCGGTCTCGAACTGCTGGGCTCAAGCCATCCTCCTGCCTCAGCCTCCCAAAGTGCTGGGAATACAGGCATGAGCCATTGTGCCTGGCGTAATTTTTTTTTTTATAGACAAGAGGTCTTCATATGTTGCCCAAGCTGGTCTTGAACTCCTGGGTTCAAATGATCCTCCCGCTTCCACTTCCCGAAGTGCTGGGATGACAGGCCTGAGCCACCATCCCCTGCCTATTTTTAAAATGTTTGAGGAATCTCCATACCGTTTTCCATAGTGGCTATACTATATCCCCCCAGTAGTGTGTGAATGTTCCTTTTTCTCCACATCCTCACCAAAGCTTGTTTTCTTTAGTTTGATAGTAGCCATTCTAATTGGAGTAAGGTGATATCCTCAATATGGTTTTGATTTGCATTTCCCTGATTACTGACGTTGAGCAATTTTTTCATACACTTGTTGGGCATTTGTATGTCTTCTTTGGAGAAATGTCTATTTGGGTCTATTGCCCATTTTTAAATTGGGTTGTTATTCTGTTGTCTAAATTCCTTATATATTCTGGTTATTAACCTCTTGTCAGACGGAGAGTTTGTGAATATTTTCTCCCTTTTTAAAAAAAAAAAGATACAGTCTCCCTCTGTTGCCCAGGCTGGAGTGCAGCAGCGTGATCTCGGCTCACTGCAACCTCCACCTCCCAGGTTCAAGCAATTCTCCTGCCTCAGTTTCCCAAGTAGCTGAGATTACAGGCACCCACCACCACGTCTGGCTAATTTTTGCATTTTTAGTAAAGACGGGGTTTTGCCATGTTGGCCAGGCTGGTCTACGACCTCCCGACCTCAGGTGATCGCCCACCTCGGCCTCCCAAAATGCTGGGATTGCAGGCATGAGCCACCACACCCAGGCATCAGGGCCATTTTTACCATAATTCTTCTGAGCCCTGGCCACCTTCTCTTCCCCTGAGCACTTTTCACTACCATGCTACACATTCTCATTGTTTCCCATCTCTCCCTCCACATAAGCAAGGAGTTTCACCAGGTTGCCAGAGCGTAGGCAAGGACTGGGCACACAGTAGCTGCTTAATAAATGTGGTTCTTTGACTGATTAGTCTTAAAAAAGCTTACACCAGGTAAAGCAGGAGCCCACATTTAGGAGAAGTTAATCATCAAAACCCACAGGGGAGTTCTACAAAATGAAGGGCAGGTCAGCCGGGGCAAGCCTGCCCACCAGGGAGGCCTGTGACATCTGCTCAGATACTTCACCCTGAGGACACTGAACATGGTCGCTCTGTAAAATCAAGCAAGACTCTGCCCTGACCTGCATCACCCCTGCCCCCACACCTGCAGGAGCCGGAGCCCACCCTCCTGTGTCAACCTACCAGTCCCCAAGCCCTATGCCACGTGCTGAACGTATGTCTAGCCTGTAAGGGGACCCAAAGAGCATCTCCTGGACTCCTTCTTACCCACTGGCTTTTGAGCAGGGAGTCACTGAAAAACGCATTACTTTTAGTTACTTTTGATCAGGTCTCACTTTTCTGAATGCAAGTGATCCTCCCTAACCCCAGGCCTGCCGCCTGGTGGCTGTGAGTGGGACACTCTACCTGAGGGCACTCCGAGGGAAGCAGTCTCTGGCAGCCCCGCACACCCCCATGTGCAGCATGCGCTGCAGAGCAAAGCCAAGGGTCCCTATTGACTTGCATCACCTTTTATTACACAAAATAGATTTCAGCCATGTTGCACATTCATTCTCGCTATGAATCTGGCTTTAAAAAGATCCCTAGGGATTCAGTCTCATCGATTTCATGGTTTTCCTTTCATTGATGTCATGCCTCTGTTGTAGTCAGAGTCCTCTCAAAGGACAAAAGCAGATGTGGCTGCCTTGGGTCAGCTCACACAGTGCACTCCCGGCCTGCCCACTGGAGGTGCGGCTCCCATCATCGTCTGGACCGCAACTGCTAGGGACTGTCAAAGCAGCAGCATGCCATCGCCTTCTCCAGTCCTTCTCCAGCAGCAAACCAGTCCTCCCAGCCGGTCCTCTGGGGACCAGCCGTCATGGCGACGTGGTGGCAATGTCCCCAGGCAGCCAACCATCCTGGGCTTCTCTTTGGGCAGGCCTGGGCCAGGGCCTTAGGGGATCTCTGTGTCCATGGTATAAATCTGAATGAGATCAGACACAATATTATCAATGATTGGCTTGGTAAGGTCGTCACTAAACACCTAGAAAGAAGAAGGAAAAGAGGTTCCAGTTAGACTCCCTCTGTGTTAAATAAGGCACCTGTCACTAAGCACAGAATCACATTTCATGGGCAGGGGAGGAGCACAGGGACTTGGCTATCCAGGAAGATGGTAGCTCTCCTGCAAAGCCAGTTCAGTTCTAGCCTGTTGAGGCCAATGAAACGCTTCACAAAGCCGAGGACATTCCAGATGGAACAGGCCTTGGTGATCCTCTGACCCAGACAGGAGGGGACCTGTCTGAGGTCATGCAGGGAATTGGTAACACAGCTGGGTCCAGAGCACAGGCTCCTGCCTCCTGCCTGGGACTCCCTCAGGTCTAGGGTCTCTGGGGACACCGGCAAGAGGACAGGGTGGCAGTCCCTGTGCAGCCACAGGCAGACTAAGTACCCGGACCCCATGCCCACCGTAACCCAGACCCTGGGGAGCATGTGGACCCACTCCACAGTCCGGACCACCACATGCAGGAGCACTCGCAAGACGGCAAAGGACATCCTCAGGGCCCATGGCAGGAGGGTTGCAGCCCAGGGCCACGCCACAGGGTGGGGTCTACACCCTGTACCTTCCAAAGGCAGGTCTGGCCTCTGCCCAGCTCCTGGAGAATAACCTCTAGGCCCCTAGAAAATCCCGCCCCGTGTGAGCGTCTTGGTTTACTGGACTGCCAGGCGGTCTGTGTTAACCACATCACTTACGGTGAGGGCCTTGGGCCACAGAGTCCCAGCTAGACCTCTGGTGGCTGCAGCCCAAGTAACCAGGGTTGGCCATGCAGGCACTCCGTGCCTATGTGATCCACCCCCTGCGGAAACCCTGGCCGCCACGGCTGGGGTGAGCTTCCCTAGTTATGACTCCATGCACGCTGTCCCACACTGTTGCTGAAAGAAACAGGTGCTGTCGGCACAACTCCCCTGGGCAAGGAGCCACTGAAGCTCACGCCTGGTCACTCCTGGAGCCTGTCCTGTGCACCCTGAGCCTTCGCTCACCGTGACCTGTGTCCTTTCCTTGTAATAAACCGGAACTCAGAGTGTGACGGCTTTTCTGAGTTCTGAGCCCTCCCAGCACAGCACTGAGCCCCAGGGTGCTGTTTGGGATCCCCATTGATAAGGGAAATAGTAAGCAAAGCAGCAAGACCTTGGTTAGATGCTGCGTCTGTAGCCACCCTGTGCCCAAGCTTGCTGCCTGGGGAACCAATGTACCAATAAGATCAAGGCCTTGGGCCAAGTCAAGGCAAGAAGTGGACCTAAGTCCACCCCTGCTGAATGCTCCCAAAGAACCACAGGTTCCTCTGTGGCCTACAACCTCAGGCAGGAGACGGTAACCTGGATACCCTCCAAGTCCTGACTCAGGAAGCACAGCTGTCTTACCCTGGGCTCTGGGGGAAAAACAAATACTTCAGAAATGCACACTTGTTTGCTGGGGTCCGTGACCTGTGTGCTCCTGGAGACCCCAAGCTCAGAAGCAATCATTAAAAAGCATGCAGGGGCTGGGCATGGTGGTTCACGCTTATAATCCCAGCACTTTGGGAGGCCGAGGCGGGTGGATCACTGGAGGTCAGGAGTTCCTTGAACCCCGTCTCTACTAAAAATACAAAAATTAGCCGGGTGTGGTGGCAGGCACTTGTAATCCCAGTTACTTGGGAGACTGAGGCAGGAGAATCACTTGAACCAATGAGGCGGAGGCTGTAGTGAGCCGAGATCTCACCACTGCACTCCAGCCTGAGCAACAGAGTGAGACTCTGTCACTTAAAAAAAAAAAAAAAAAAGGCAGGGCCAAAACATGGAAGCAGCCTGCGTCCATCCATGGATGGATATGTTAATACCATATAGTCCATGCAGGCCATGAAATATGATTCAGCCATCAAAAGAAAGGACATTCTGAGACAGGGGCTCCAACATTGTGCTCAGTGAAAGGAGCCAGTCACAGAAAGGCACACACTGTGAGGGGCCTCAAAGGAGAGCCGTGAACTCTGTAGACGGACAGTGGAAGGGTGGGTGCCAGGGGCTGGGGGGTGGGGAGTTGGGGTTGAACGGGCCAGAGCTTCAGTTTGGGAAGATGAACAAGTTCTGCGGCTGGATGGCGGTGATGGCTGCACAGCACCGTGAATGTGCTTCTGCCCCTGGGCCGCACACTTAAAAATGGTGAACATGGTACAATTTAGGTGATGTGTATGTCATCACAATTAAATATAACAGTCCAGAACAGGTGACAACCCTGGGGCACCTGACAGCAGAAAGGACACAGACCCAAGTCCTAGGAGGAGACACTGCTGGCCTCTGGGGACTTTGCCTTTTCGTGGGCGGTCCATCTGTTTATAAGATAAAGAGCAGCAGTGGCTGGAAAGAGGCAGGTTCTCCTTCTGCTAAGGAACGAGGGGATGGAGGGCACTCAGTGTGGCTCTGGACGTGGAAGTTTCAGCAGCATTGTGTGACGACCCGCATCATTTCTGACACCGCCACCATCCCTGCTCATCTGGCAAGTCAGAGTGCAGGCAAGCTTCTCCAGGGAAGCACATCAAGCTGCCATGCCGAGCCCATGGCAGACAAGTGACAGGAGTCGCTATAAGAAGTGGTGGCCGAGAGCACACAAGGAAGAAAGGGTTTCAAAAGCTAGGCTGTGAGCTCCACAGCACCTGGGTGGGTGAGGCCTCCCAGGGCCCCACTCATCATGAGGGATCAGGCCCTTGCACCCCACCAGCTCATAGGATGCACCTGGATTCCGGAAGCTTCTGGTGCACAGCCCCGAGCTGGGAAGCAAAGGTCAGGTCAAGTTTAGCAACCTTTAAGAAGAGCTGGGTGAACATAAGCTCGCCACCCCACAAAGGGTAACTTCTTCGCAGTCTGAACAACTGGGTGAGCTGGGCCACCAGCAAACAACTTGCTGGTGGAGCTGCTTCCTGGCTGTGCAGGCTCACCTGGGCTCGCACTCCTCTGGGAGGGGTTAAGCATGGGACGCAGGTGGTACCAGCACACCAGGTGAGGTTTATGAGCAAACGCAGAAGACAGAGCAGAAAGGAAGAGAGATGCAGGATAGCCAGGCAGCCCAGGGCCAGGGCCACACCCACCAGATGTCCCCAGAAGGTGTCTGCCCTCACCAGAGTCCAACCCTGAGCACAAGGCAGCCATGCTATCTGAAAGTCCCTGGCAGCCCGAGCATGGAGCAATACTGTCTGTCCACACAGATGGCCCTGCACCACCTGCACACTGCCTCGGGGACAGGGTGCTTCCAGCCTGAGACTAGGAACACGGGTGGATGGGTTCAAAGACACATGGGCACCCGCTATAGTGCCAGGGTGGCGCGGGAGATGTGGCGGCATGGGGCAGATGAGCTGCCTGGCCTCAGGCGCTCACAGCTGACTGGGGATACGAGATTAGACAATAAACATGCAAAAATCAGCAAGTGCTGTGGTCGTCCGCAAGGCACACGGGCCAGGAAAGAGAGGCAGGGGCGCCTCTATGCAGAACAGCAGCGGCCACCTGGAAAGCTGTCCGCTGGGCAGGCCTACAGAGTTCTACCATCCATCCCTCCAGGATCTACCTACTGATACCTATCAGTCACCCGCCACCCGGCCCATCAGCTCTCTCACCCACCCACCTAGGTGTCTGTCAACTAGCCAGCTAGCTGTCACCTACCTAGTCACCCACCCCTCTCCGTAAAGCACCCCAGATGTTTCTGATGGGAAGCCAGGTTTCGTAACCTGTGACCACACTCAAGTTCCCACTCAATTCAGTAAAAGTGGTTCTCCGCTGGGGCAACCCGCCTCCCGGGACACCGGCGACATCTCGGTGGAGGCTAGCACTCTCGTTCGACATCCGGGATCCCTAAATGGCAACTGTGCTGAGGGAGAGCCTGGCCCAGGCCATCAACAGGGCGCTCTGAAGCTTCCATGCTCCCCAGCAGCCCATATCTTCCTTCATGGATAATTAATAGAAAGAATTTGGTGAGCACTGCAATACAGACTTCCAGAGGGAAAGGGGTCACGTCCGGTATGCCAAGTAGCCACCTCACCTGCCACCATGGCTTCTCAGCCTCGACTTCAGCAGGCACTTCAACTCCGTAGACCTGCAGGGCCAGAGAGAGCACTGCCACGGCGATGTGCTGGGCCTGGAAGCGGAGGCACAGCCCCCCGTGGTAGCTGTCCCGCAGCAGGGCCCAGGCAGTGACGGCAACAGGGGTCCGCTGCCAGCTGTGGCGGTTCAGCCAGTTCTTGAGGGAAACCAGGTAGTGGAGCAGATACTGCAAAGACACATGCATCAGCCTTTGATCCCACCAGCTGCTCTCCTCATGCTGACATAATCGTATCAGCACCTGCACCAACCCTCCAGCGGCTTCCATGTCCCTTAGGAAGAAGCCCCAAGGCCTTCTGCTGGCCCCATCTCCTGCCCCTCCCACCCCGCCTTCCAGCACACCCTGTCTAGGGCCTTCACACTCATGGAGCTGTCCGCCTGAAACCACCTCACCATATGCACCTGCCCACTCTCATCCTCCAGACCCAGCTCTAGGGAAACCTATGAGGGCCACCCCCACCGCAGTCCCTCTCAACCACAGGGCCCGCTCTGGCCACCATGAAATTCCTCGGGGCCTGGTGCTCCGGAGAGCACCCTCTTCATGGGCAGAACAGAGGGTGCTGCTCCCCATGCATCTGGCCTGCTGCCAAGGGCACATGCTGTCCTCAGCCACAACATCCAAATGACCTCCCAGCCCAGCTGCCAGCTCCTGCTCTCAGAACAGACATTTTGCCGGAACCTCACACAGTAAGACAGATGCTGCAAGCTCTCTGGACAGTCTGGAACACACATGTGTGTGTGACCCCAGCACACCATGCAGGAGGGATACATAGGTTACTCTCCGCCCCAGACTGGAAGGAGGGGAAGGGGCTGGCAGGCTCCCAGCCACACCAAGTTATCAGTTTCCCAACTGGGCACAGATCACACACCCCCTGAGGTCTGAGTGCTGCTCTTTCCTAAGCCTTGTCGCCTTGACAGCTCCACCCTGCAGCCACCGGGGCATCTCCCACCTTCCCCCAGGACACTCACCAAGCATTCTGCCCACTAAGACACTACTGTGCAGAAATCCCAGACCAGGGCTTTCCAGATACTAAGGTAGGAGTGTGGAAGGCTGGAGGCAAGATTATAAAGGCAACACGAAGGGCTTGTGCAGCTGGAACTGTCTCTCACCTTGGCTGTGGTGGTAGGTCTGTGAACGGAGACGTGATGAAATGGAACAAAAACAATACACACAGGAATACAAGTGGAAGTAAGGATGCCAGCGGGCTGTGTCGGTGTTGACATCCTGACTGTGTTCCCCTTGGGGGAGACTGGGCCAAGGGTACATGTCACAACTGTGTGGGAATCTACAATGATCTCAGTAAGAGTTTTGACGAAAAAGAATGAAACTCCTAGCCCAGAGCTCCAAACCACAACTCCTCCATCTCTGTCTCCAGCCAGCCTTCTGAGCTGCCTGTGCATGGGGCTGCGGTGCCCAGAGCATCGTGTGCCAGTCGCCTTAGCGTTCCGCTTTTCCCTTTTGCTGCTGTTTGAAATGGTTCTTCTATTGAGACTCACACGTTCCTAGATGGCTTCCTAAGCACAGCTGAGCTGGATGCATGCTCCGAGGCATCACAGCATCTCCTGGGGACGGGGACTCTGGCTGGTCACGAAACCAGCCTGCTTCCCCAAGGCCCAGCATGCATACCATCTATATGGGCCACAGGAGCTGCCACAGCTTCAGCGGGCCACATGGACCCCGCCCACAGGTGAGCAGGCAGAAAGGCAGAAGCTGAAATGAGATTTGGCTGAGAAAACCCACAGGAGTGGGACAGGAGAGGCCAGGCGGCCAACCCGGCCACAAACACGGAGCGGGGAGACCCAGTTCCCAGCCGCAGCCCTGCTCTCCTTCTGTGCTGTGCTCTCGAGTATGAGATGGGATGCACTTTTGGGATAAAGAACAAAGACCATGGCTTGAGCCTCCCCAAACAGGCACCAATTCCCTAGCATGTACCTTGTGTGGATGCTGGAAGGAGACCTGGAAGCGCAGAACTCTCAGCATGAGAAGCTCACACTGCACAATGCTGTCGCGGAGCTCCCAGAAGCGGGAGTCCAATTCCAGGGGCTCACCGCTTGGGTTAAAGTACCTGCACAGAGAAATGGCAATGCGTCAGCAGCCAGTGCAGTCTCCCCTGAGCACTGGATGGCTCAAATTGCTTAAGTCACACAATGTCCAGATGCAAACTACATTGTCCATCTGCAGATTAATGTAGGGTCATTTTATTTGTGTTTTTATACAAAAATTCTTCATTTCCACATCTAGTGTACAGAATGAAAACAGTAACCAACAGAGGAAAGAAGCCAGGTCCTAGTTTTAGCCAGATGGGCTGTCTGCTATCATTCAGCAAAATGTCAAGTGCAAAGACTGGCTGTTGGCGATGGCTCCAGAGGAACCGGAAGCTTGAGCATGCCAAGTCGGTTGTGCTTCCTGTTATATTCAGCCTGGCAGCAGGGAATCTTCATCACCTAAGGTGGCAATGCCCAGGGCTCTCACTCTGGGCCCAGGGAACGTATTTTTTTATCTTATTTTTATTTTTTATTTATTTATTTATTTATTTATTTATTTATTTATTTATTTATTTATTTTTGAGACGGAGTCTCGCTTAGTCGCCCAGGCTGGAGTGCAGTGGTGCGATCTCGGCTCACTGCAAGCTCCGCCTCCCGAGTTCACGCCATTCTCCTGCCTCAGCCTCCTGAGTAGCTGGGACTACAGGCACCCGCTGCCACGCCTGGCTAATTTTTTGCATTTTTAGTAGAGACGGGGTTTCCCCATGTTAGCCAGGATGGTCTCGATCTCCTGACCTCGTGATCCACCCACCTTGGCCTCCCAAAGTGCTGGGATTACAGGCATGAGCCACCGCGCCCGGCCTTTTTATTTTTTGAGACAGGGTCTTGCTCTGTCTTTCAGGCTAGAGGACAGTGGTGTAGTCACAGCTCACTGCAGCCTTGACCTCCTGGGCTCAAGCGATCCTCCTGCCTCAGCTACCCAAGCAACTGGAACCACAGGCATGCGCCACCACACCCGGCTAATTTTTGTATTTTTGGTAGAGACAAGGTTTCACCATGTTGGCCAGGCTGGTCTTGAACTCCTGGACTCAAGCAATCCACCCACCTCGGCCTCCCAAAGTGCTGGGATTATAGGCGTGAGCCACCATGTCCAGCCATCCAAGAAAGATATTTAAGCCTCTCATGGGAATGAGGTACTCCAAAAAGTGAACATTTCTCAGTTTTATATTTCCCAGACCGTTTTTCCTTCGCCTTGGCGAAGACCCTGCATCCTGCCCCAGGAGGAACACACCTGCTTGGGCCGGCTGTGCCATGCCCATGCCCACACCCACAGCAGGGCGAGGCCCCTAAGCAACTGGGACCCACCACCTGGCTGGGTCTGTACCCTCCTGATGCAGGCAAGCTCTTCTGCATGCAGCCATCCCTGTCTAAGATTTCAACAGAATCTTCTTTGACATGCCTCTCCAAGTTCCCCCTGCTCAAGCCCCACCTCTACCCTCCATCCAGCTTTCCAGGCTCCCCATAATCTGGCCCAGCTTTTCTCTCACAGACCCCACTGGCCTCTGACATCAGGCTCCTTCCCACGTTTGCTGCTAGTGTTTCTGGCCCTGGTTCAAGGCCATCCAGGTACTTCCTTCCAAGATCCATTGCTGGCACCTGGTGGGCAGGGCCCCGTAGGAGCCTTCCCTACCCTTCCCCCCCACCGCGTGGACACCAGGAGCCCATCCAAATGCCATTACCTGTTGGACACATTGATGATGTCACGAGTCCGCAGGTGCTGCTCTTCCACTTTGCCAGCCAAGTAAATGGAAGACATGGCAATCAGGTAAGGGTCATAGGCATCCAGGTTGGTCTCACAGAAGAACTTATGGTAAATGGTGCAAGCAGTGGCAATGGGAATGGACCGCATCCCTAGCTTGACACCTGCAGAGAGAAAGCAGGCAAGAGAGGACTTCAATCCAGCGCTGGTTCACTACTCCAGTGAGGGAAGCCATTGGAATGGGCCGTAGCAGGTACAACCCTTCTTGGACAAGGCTAAGGGCTTCCAGCAGAGCCAGTGGCTCCTCCCGGGTCTCTCACAGACTCCAGTGGATGACCCAAGCCCCTAGGGACGGTGTTCAAATGCAAACTTCCCCTTCTGTAGGTCTGCAGCTCTGAGATTCTGCACTTGTGACAAGCCCCAGGTCATGCCCATGTCAGGGGTCTGTAGACCATGCTCTGGGAAACAAGGGTTCCAAGGACTGCTCAGTTAGCAACTGGCATAGCAGCTTCTGCAAAACCCTGGGAAAGGACCATATGCTGTTGTGTGTCTGGGTTCACCTTAGCAAGCCGCTAGCTAGAAGTCACCCAACCCACAGCTACGACGACAGAAGAGAAACGGCCTCGTGGGTACCACAAGTCCTGAAGTCACAGTGAAAGATTATACTGAGCACTGGTTTCCTAGTTCACGGGTTAGAAGAGGTGAGCAAAGCAAGCAGCGTGACTGCCAAGAGTAACCACTTGCATTGCAGAGAAAAGGCAATGTTTATGGCCACGGCCAGGCACGGGGGAAGGACACCAACACGTTGAAAAGTGGGCTGGGCATGCTGATTTACGCCTGTAATCCCAGCACTTTGGGAAGCTAAAGCAGGAGGATTGTTTGAGCCCAGGAATTTGAGATCAGCCTGGGCAACAGAGTGAGACCCTGTCTCTACAAAAAAAAAAAAAAGAAAAGAAAAAAAATTTTAAGGTTAACAAAACTCAAAACACCAGAACACAACTCAGTGGATTCACTTAGGGGTTAAAGCCCATCCCCAGCCCATTCTTGAATGGCTCCTAAGAAAATCACTGCCCTGGTGCACAGAACCAAAACAAATTCACAACAACCAGGGTTCACAAGAGGTTAAATGACATCCACTAGGCCAAAACAGGAAGGTGGAGAACAACCAACAATCAACCATGAAATGACAGCTAGCGTCCTCTACCTAAGAAGGTAGATCAGTTCCCTAGGGCTACTGCAACAAATCACCACAAATTCAGTCACTTAAACAACACACATTTATACTCTCCTGATCCTGGAGGTCAGAAGTCCAAAACAAGCCTAGAAGGCTAAGATCAACGTCTTAGCAGGGCTGGCTCCTTCTGGAGGCTCCATGGGAGAAATCTGTTTCCTTGCCTTTTCTAGCTTCTAGAGGAGGGCTGCATTCCTTGGTTGCTGGCCCCTTCCTCCATCTTCAAAGCTTCTAACTCTGCTTCTGTCCTCATGTGGCCTTCTCTGATGGTAACTCCTCCTGCCTTTCCCTTATAAGGATGGTTACATCCAAATAATCTAGGATGATCTCCCATCTTAGGGTCTTTAATCACATCTTCAAAGTCTCTTTTGCTATATAAGATGACATTCACAGGTTCCAGGGATTAGGACAGGGACATCTTTGGGAAATCAATATTTAGCCTCCTACAAAGAACAAAGGTTTATGCAATACATTTTATAAAGAAGTCCCTCGGAAGGTCTAAACTTGTTATATAGAGACAATTCCTACCTGGGACCCCTCATTCCAGGAGATGCCAGATAAGGTGCTGTTACTGACATGACCTTCCAAGCCTTGTTTTACAGAGCAAAGCCCAATTTACATGGACCCTCCGAGCAGATGGTAGCAGATGAGGTGTCACTGCTATCCTTCCCTAATAATAACATTGCAACTCTTCTTGCAAATTACAGTACATTTACATATCACTGGGATGAAGAGTCCCGCAGCATTGCTCAGACTCTGTCCACCTTGAGTCAAAGTATATCTGCCCAACCCTTCTCCCCCAAGCAGTAAAGGTAGGAAATAACTATCCACCAACTAACAGTATCTCCTATCAAGACACTGTTGATGGGCCGGACGAGGTAGCTCACGCCTGTAATCCCAGCACTTTGGGAGGCCGAGGCAGGTGGATCACCTGAGGCCAGGAGTTCAAGAGCAGCCTGGCCAACATGGTGAAACCCCATCTCTACTAAAACTACAAACATTAGCCGGGCGCAGTGGCACATACCTGTAATTCCAGCTACTCGGAGGCTGAGGAAGGAGAACTGCTTTAGTCCAGGAGACGGAGGTTGCAGTGAGCCGAGATCACGCCACTGCACTCCAACCTGGCCAACAGAGCGAGACTCCGTCTCAAAAACAAAACAAAACAAAACACTGTTGATGGCTGGATGGAAACGCGGAGCCCAACGCTATTGTGGACATCCTGGCAGGGTTCGGAACAGGAGCTGCATGCAGCCTAGGTCCTCGGAGTGACAGGAAACCCCGGACAGCCTTCTCCAAAAGGCTCCGCGAGACCAAGCGCCAGTGCAGGCCCGCGGGTGCGGCAGAAGGCGTGGCGCACTGCGCAGAGCTGCAGGTGCCCGGGCTGGTCCCCGCCTCGCTGGAGGCCCGACCCGGCCACGTCCTCTCCTAGGGCCTGCACACCGGTTCACGCAATGGGGACACATCGCGGGTCACTGCTCAGCACACCGGGCGCGGCGCAAAGGCGGAGGTCCTCAGCCCCAAGCCGGGCTTCCCGGCCTCTGTAAGGTGAGCACTCCGGAAGGCCGGCCTAGCCAGCCGCGCCCGCTCCGCGAAGCGGGCCCCGACGCCGCCTGCCCCGGCCTGCCCCCAGCCGCGGTTACCTGCCTCCATGATGAACCTCGCCACTCGGAAGTGCACCCTGGCTTCGGGCGCCGGCTGCCCCTCAGGGCCCCGCGCTGCGGGCCCCCCTCCGCCGCCCTCCGGGGCTTCCATGAGGCCCTGCGGCCCCGGCGGAAGGAGAGGCAGCCCCGGCGGAAGTAGAGGCGACCCCGGGGGTGCTCGCGGCAAGCACGGCCGCCCCACCCGTCTGCGGGCCGCCCCGCCGCTCCTTCGCCCCGCCTCGCAGGGCCAGCACCCAAGAGTGAGCGCGCGCCTGCGCCACAGAGGCTGCCTGGCCGCGGGCGCAGGCGCAGGCGCAGGCGCAGGCGCAGAGGCCGACACCACCGGGCGGCTAGCGAGTGGCGACCCCGTAGACGCCTCGAGCCCCGCCTCTGGGAGACGCAGGCTCCTCCCCGCGGAGCGAGAATCCGCGGAGCTGCTCTCAGACCCGCGGGAGGGCACCTCCGGTCACCCGGGCCGCAAATCCCTGCTGTCCGAAGAAGGTGTAGCCCCGGGCTGGCGGCCCAACATGGCTTAGGCCAGGAACAGCCGGCAGCGCCCGCCAAGCCCTGGGCTAGAGACGCCTGCGGGAGTTCACGTGGAGGCGCCGGTGTCTGAGGTCTGAGAAGGCAGCGGCCACCGGAAAAGGTGCTAGTGTTTGCAAACCCCGATCCACCGACACTCCAAGGAAATGCTGTGCACAAAATTCCAAGGGGGCCTTTTCCAATAGACGCATGAACGGTGTTTGTGTCTGGATCGTCCAGCCTCCTGGGATCGATTGGGAATCTAGCTTCTGCTTGCCTTTCCAGCGCTACGCACAGTAGGAGCCTAATAAATGTTTGTTGAATAAATGTTGAATATCGAACTCATGTATTTACCATCCCATTTTTCATTCGTGCCTTGCACAAGCAGGAAATGGCGCATCAGGCTTTAGGAACATAGAACCCCAAAAGGACTCCCAAGCTAGTGACAGCCACTTGAGCCATTCTGATACATTCAGGTCATTGCTACAATTTCAGACAGCTGGCAATACGGAGAGGCAACAGCTACTACTCCCTAAACCCTTCTACCCAGGCGCCTTGATCTCTGGATGATGTGGAAGTCTCCACCTCTTACCCCCACCCCATACACCCAGTCCGGCCTGGGTCTCCCTCAGCACCTCCTGCCTCCACCAGGCTCCCCAAGTCCTCTCCATCGCAGCTGGGTTAGTTTCCTGGGGCTACTGTAACAAATGACTACAAATTGGGTTGCTAAAAACACCAGAAGTATATCCTCTCTCAATTCTGGAGGCCAGACACCTGAAATGGAGGTGACACCAGGGCTTTGCTCCCTCAAAGGCTCTGGCAGAGGATCAGTTCTTCCTTGCTCTTCCAGCTTCTGCAGCCTGAGTTCTTCCTGGGCTTGTGGCCCCATCACTCCAATCTCTGCCTCCATCTTTACATGGCCTTCTCCCTGTCTTCTCTTCTCTTATAAGCACATCTGTCACTGGATTAGGGCCCACCTAGATAATCCAGGAGGAGCTCATCTTGACATCCTTATCTTCATTATATCTTGCAAAGGTCCTTCTAAATAAGGTTACAGTCACAGGGATTAGGACATGGACACACCTTTTGGGGGCTGCCATTCAGCCCACAATAGCAGCCGCCGGAGCCAGCTTTCTAAACGGCGAGGCCCAACAGGTCCTGCCCTGCCTGGCACCCTCCGGGGTCCCTTCACCCTCAGGAGAAAATGTGGGGCCTTGGCCTCGCATGCTGGTCCTTGCAGAGTCACCCTGTCAACTGACCGGCCTCAGATCTCACCACTTTGCCTCATGGCAGAGACCTTTGGCAGGTCCCCTAAAGGTTATGGCCTCCCAGCTGAACGTCTCTGCACATATTCTGCCTGGTGAAGGAATTACTGCTCCACTTCCATCACCCAGCTTGCTTTTGTCTATGTGCACAGGTGTGCACGTGTGTGTGCGTATGTGTGCGTGTGTGAACTGACTCAGGGTCCCCAGCTCCCGGTGCTGCTGACACCTGCCATACCTTGAGCACTGTGTCTGTCCCCAAGCTGTGAGCAGCCCCACCCTCTCCCCAGCCCAAGGCTGAAACCTGGGCAATGCCCAGAGGGCCCACCTTGCCTCAGCCCCATTGGTGGAGGCCAGGTCCTGTGTTCCTCCAGACAGTGCCCTGGGCTGGACCAGCCACAGCTAGATCTAGAAGGCTCAAGCCCATGTTCCCTAAAGCAGCTATGGGCCTTGGAGAATCAGGCTGCTGCCTCTCAGCTTCCCCCTACCACCACATCTGTGCACACTACACACACACACCCCCCCATGCACATGCATCACACATTCCCCCCACATACACACATGCACATGTGCACATATGCGAACACCCCAAATCGTACAGTGCTTCCCTCTGGCCCCTGGTGGCCCGCCCATCCTCTAGGTGCAGCTCGAACTCCTCCTTCTGCTCTGGGCCTTATGTGCTGAGAAGAGTCCCAGCTCAGCTAGTAAAAGGTGCCTGGGAATGTGAGCCGAGGGAATGACTCAATGAACACGTGAAGTTTAAAGCCCTGGGTCACCTCGGCGCAGTGGTTGATAAATGAATAATTCACTAGCCACCAACTGGAGCCAGCAAACCTTTAGGCAGCACCTCCTCTCCCACTGGCAAGCCTGTCCCCATTGTCCCAAATGTGGCATACCCCGTCTCATCTCCCCTGGCTCAGATGGTGAGTTCCTTGAGGGCTGAAGCCTGGTTCGCAACCCCAGGCTTGGCCCTGGGGCTGCCAGTCACCATCAGAAACATGATTCTGTAATATTTGCCAGCGCTTCCTTAGCTAATCCTCACCATGTGCCCATACATTGATTAAATCGCAGCCTTTCCCTCACAATAGCACTATTATGGAAAAGAGTGAGTGACTCATTTCAAGGAACAGGACTCGGTCTGAAGATCAAAGGATGAGGCAGAGAAAGAGGGAAGAGGCATTTGGGGTCCAGAAGAGACGCTGTGCACAGGCAGGGCCACGGGAAAGCCTGGGTGGTCTTCAAAAAGCAGAGGCAATTTCCAACGCACCTAACCTGCCCAGGTCTTCATCCTGGCAGCCTCATCAAAGTCCAGGCCTGCTACTTGTCTTTAGAAAGTCCTCACTGCCTGGGAACCTCCTGCCATAGTCACCTATCCACTGTGCCATCCGAGCCACTCCCTCTCACCATCGGCAAGATCCACAGCCTCCATCTCTGTTCTCCCTCCCCGCTCCCCACTGCCTACCCACCCTTCATCTTTTTATTGATTGATTGATTGAGACAGAATCTCGCTCTGCCGCGCAAGCTGGAGTGCAGTAGCATGATCTTGGCTCACTGCAACCTCCACCTCCCGGGTTCAAGTGATTCTCCTGCCTCAGCCTCCTGAGTAGCTGGCATTACAGGCCACATGCGCCACCACACCCAGCTAATTTTTTGTATTTTTAGTAGAGACGGAGTTTCACCATGTTGGCCAGGCTGGTCTCGAACTCCTGACCTCAGGTAATTTGGCTACCTCGGCCTCCCAAAGTGCTGGGATTACAGGTGTGAGCCACAAAGCCTGGTCAGATTATGACTTTTTGGTGAATCTACTGCCTGGTATTATTTTCTTTTTCAGAGACTCGAGTAACCAGGAGCTCAATAGAGTAATTGAGCAAGCTCTAAGCACGCACGGGATCTTGGATGTGACCAAGTTGGACCTAGGGAGAAGTGCTGCCAGTCGGGCATGAGGGCTGGAAAATCTACCCCAGCAATAGATGTGCGGGAGACTAAAACCAGATGAGTGGGTGCCAGGGCCAGGAAGGGATCACAGGGAGTGACTGCTGATGGAGTCAGGGGTGACAAGGATGTTCTGGAATTAGATAGTGGTGATGGTGGTACAACTCTGTGAATACATTAAAAGGCCATTGAATTGTATGCTTTAAATGGGTGAATTTTATGGTACGTGAATTATATCTGAGTAAATCCATTATTTTTTAAAACTACCACATGCAATCGTGCCACTGAGGACAAAATCTTCTTATGGGGAGAAGGGTTTCACACGGAAGAGCTGGGAGACTGGCCAGCAAAGAAAGTCGGAGGGCAGAGCAGCTGGAAAAAGTGGGCAACGTTACAGAGCCAGGAAGCTCTCAGAAGGGCCAAGTGAATGCAAGGACCTGAGAAACCCAGGGTGTCAGCAGGACAGCCACAGCGAGGGTGGGTGGCCGGGCTGTCCCGGGACTCCTGATAACCCAGGGATGACTCCTGATAGCAAGGAGGTGGTACGGGAGGGGACCAGAGTGGGGTGTACCCTCAAAGTCCTGCAACGAGGTCAGCGAGGTCACCTCTGAAACAAGGCTCCACTGCGATGGTTGGAGATGGAGGATCCTCGTTGTGGGGTGCACAGCAGCCAGAGTGGGAGCTGATGGAAAGACCTTGGCCTGAAATCTGTCTCCTAGGCAGCCCCTGAGCCCCTCCTGTGATGAACAGCTGGCTCCCTGGCTCAGGTGGGTGAAGGCTCCTGCAGCAGGAGACACCTTGTGGAAGCTCCCGTCCCGCAACCCCATGGGGACTCCACTCACAGCCACTGTGACCCTCTCGCTGGAGCAAAGCAGGAAAGTCACTGGCAAATGATTTGCAGTTCCATTCTCATACACAGAGAACTCTAGAAGTTTCCACCTGCCCCAAAGAGCAACATTATGCTTTTACTATCCTCCCCCTAGGACACTTCAGCTCTCCGGCTCCATGCCACAGTCTGTCTCCAGGGACCTTGATCTCGCTGTCCCTCGCATGTCACACAGGTCCACTCTATCCATGACAACATACTGACAGGATCTGGGGATCAGGAGCAAGTGGCTGAGGAAGGGAGGGAGGGTAAAGGTCAAGGTATCAGGGAGAGAGGAGGGAGGCCTGTCTATGAGTTACTCAATTGTCATGCATTAATGGGGCCCTAAATGTGTTATTTTCCTAGGGGGTATTTGTACAAAAGCATCAAAGTGAAGATGTATTTGTTTCCCGTTCATGGTCCCCCCCACCACCCCATTTCCTGTGGCTGTCGTAACAAAGTAACACAACAGAAATGTGCTCTCTTGCAGCTCTGGAGGCCAGAAGCCTAAGATCCTGGTGTCTGCAGGACCCTGTTCCCTCCTCTGGAGGTTCTGGGGGAGGCTCCTTCTTGCCTCTCCCAGTTCCTGGGGAATCTGGGTGTCCCTTGGCTTGTGATGACACCGCTCTATTCTCTGTGAATCCATGTGGCCTTCTCCTCTGTGTCTGTGATTTCTTTTCTCTTATAAGGAC